CCCGGAAATGCTTAAAACAAAAATTCTCATTCACATTCACTTTGCGGGCGTGGCAGGAGGCATGTTTCGGTGGCAAAGTTTCCATTGAAACATCTTTAAGCGGCTAAACTTTTCTCATAACCCAACATGCGGAGCACTCTCTGATGCGATATCCTCTATATACGATATACAAAATAGAAATATATATATACATACCATGTATGGTACTAAGACACACACTCGTAGACTCTCACACTCACAAGGATACGCACATCCTGCGGCGAAATCTTATCAAACTGACATCATTTCCATTATGTTTTGCACTTGCACAGCCTCGACTAATGTGTGTGCGCCAGTCTGTGGCCAAATTGCGAGCCAAGGACCTGGTCCAAGTCCTTCCAGCCCTCAGATTCTAACTTGCCACCTCTCCAGCCTCCATCTCAGGGCTATCAAGGGGCCTGTTCCTCGAGCACTGTTCAAAATTAAGGTGTCCTTCCAGTTGGGTTGACTCGAAAAATAACTAAAGGAAATTGTAAGCAAAGTGAGTTAGTTACATTTAAGAAAATTGGTTTATAAACTATAAAATATATATGTACTATTCTAAATGTATTGCAAATATTGATACAATAAAATATTCAATTTTATTTGTAAACATCTAAACTCAGGGATTCTTTCAAAAAATGGTTATTATATTAAAACCAATTTATTTAAGATTTGAGAGTATTGGGGAAAAGAGAAAAAAACGCTTAGTTTTAAGAAAGATCGTTAAAAAATAAAATAAAAATAAATAAAGTTATAGCACATGAGTAAGGGAATAGATAGTTTTAAATTGTATAGTAATAGTATAACAATATTAGGTATCTACTATTGGTTTATTATTGGCAACCACTAAGTATCTTAAAGTATCTATAGTAGGATTTTAAGTTTATACGAAGTAACCGTCAGCTAATTATAAATTTTACATACATTTTTGTTTCACGAAATATGTGAAATATTTAATTAATTAGTGAGATATAAGAAGTACCTATTGAATACAACACAATTTAGAACTTCCTTAAGTTAATCTTTATTATATAAACAAACAAATCAAATAGGAAAATAAGTACACCAAACATAAAATTTATTCTCTTATTCAGAAGTCTATAAATTATATAGTTGCCAAAAAATTATGACAAACACTAAGATTTTGCTATAAGAATTATTTATCACCAAAATCTTGAAGATACTTCCTAGAGAAACGCCAAAAAAAAAGTGAAATATTTCTCGGTGCCTTGAAAAGTGGGCAATCTTTAAGCACGCGAATCGCATTACACACACATGCGTGTGTGCCGACCATGACTCTGGGCGTGCTTGTGGGTGTGTTGGCTAATCTGGCCCGCCAATAACTGCAAATTAGATTAGCAACGCCTCCGAGGGTGAAACCATCGACAGCTGACCATCCGGAATCCAAAAACTCCGTATGTGCAACATATTTCGTACAATATTTCATCAGCATCCCAGCAGCACGCAACTTGTTCATCGCGTGTGGCACCATCGCGATGATAAATCTGGGGAGGAAGAGGGGGGGAAAACTCCATTCCATCTGTATCCCATCCCCTGGATGCCAATATTATATAGGAGATGGGCCATTCCATGTGGATGTGGATGCGGCCATTCGCGAGACGAAACTAATAAAAATCATAAAAACTTTTCCGCTTAGCGTTTCCATTAAAATGGCCCGCAAGATTGTTATTATTATTATTTGAGTGTCAGTCCTTGGCTCACTTTCACTCTCACTTTCGCCGCCACTTTCTCTAGCATTATTACTTTCACCTAACCGCGTACGAGGCCAATTATCTTAACTAGTTCCTACAAATTCTGGACTAATTCAAAAAGAATGAGTCATGTTTTGGGTTTCAGATTTGTGCAAAAATAATTGTTTTCTTTCTGGGTTATATTTTTTTTCGTACTTAGGGGTGTTATTTAGGGGTAATTGGAAAAATTAGATAAGAAAGTTTACTCATCAGCTCTAAAGATCTTAGGAGGTCAAGGTTCTGATTAAAGAAATGCTATATCGATACATTATCTTTAAAAAGTATTAAATAAGATAAAGCGTAGCTACTAATATATTTAAATATTGCTTAATTATTTGTCTAAAAAAATGTTATAATATATATAATTTAAAAAGAAATGTCGTACCTATTTTATGGCAAATAAATTGCCGTATTTTGTTAACGAAACAAAGCACATGGACAACATAAAACTTTATTCAATCGTCCATAGAAAGTTTGGGGTTATCGTTTCACGAAAATTATATCATTTCTCCCCCATCGATAACTCACTGTACGGTTTATGGCCCGTCGCTTTGAATGGCCAAACTTCCGGAGTCCGTGGACTGAGTTGAATGGATTTGCTGACGCCAGCTTTGCCACTTTTCTATGGAAATTGTCCCCATGTTTCAGTGCCCAGTGTCCAGTGGTCCAATGTCCAGTTACAGGATAGTATATATTCTATATGCTCTATAGTATTAATGCCAACGAGTTGCGGGAACGACGCCCAGCCACTTATTCGCATCGTTTGGCGAGCTATATCGCTGTTCGTTAATCGTAAAATAAATTATTTTCCATATGGGTCCTGCCTGCGTCCTGGCTGTGTCCTCGCCTGATTCCGAGTCATAATTCTTGCATCACTCCCGCTCCGTTCCCCACCCACAAATGGGGCATGAAAGTTTCAGTTAATTGCATGAGTGGGGATTACACTGAAAACAAGGATAAAAATATTTTAAATAAATAATTAAATATTTAATAATATGCAATAATATTTTTTAAAATCTCTTAATTAGAATTGAGGAAGTATATATTTGAAAATCATTTATAATGGAGAACTAATTGAGTACTGGATATTATACAGTCTTGAGGCTTATCTCTCCCTATAACTTTTAAAAAATAATGCTTTCCTTTACTTTTTTTAACCCCTAATATTAAAATCTAGTGATTAGCCAGTTTTCCAAGTGCATTTGATGGGATTTGAGGGTGAAGGAGGGGGATAAAAAGTTTAGATCCGCAACTGGCTGGCTTTAATTGTTACTAGTCGCATTTGGAGTCTGGCCTAATCACTGGCGCCGGATTAGACCAACTTGCTGCCCAGGCTGGATGGTGGCCAAGTGCCTGGAGAGGACATACATACATACTGGTACTGCTGGGTATATGCGCCTGGTCCTTGCCAACGCTGTCAGTCATAATTAACACTCCGATCCCGCCACGGAGTTGGCGTAAAATAATATCCAACCGAAATGGATGCGAAACAAAAGTTAGCTCCTCTCCGACCGTTCAAAGTTGCTAATCAAGTCTGACAGTTGAAAAAAGGATGGAACAGGATGTGCCAGATGGATGTTGCCATATATGCTGGCCATACAATATATATATCTTGTGTATCGTTGCAAGTGCAGGCAGAAAAAAATACGAAAATATCAGTTGCCATATTGTCGGCTAAAATATAAAATTCAAAATGTACAAATAATCCAATTGAGGCGTAAATTAAATTACTTTTAATTACCTTAAACGTTTTAATTAAGGAATAGATGTGCTTGCAGACTGCTAACTTTTTATAAAAATCACAGGAATGCAACTTTTGTATTGTTTTTAGACCGTTATTACTCTTGAAATGACAGATCTAATAAAAAATCTGTTTTTAAATTGATGTTTTGTAGCTATAAACAATGATTAATTAATATAATAAATTGTTTAAGTATCTTTTAGGGACAATTTCTATTGCAATATAGGCTTTGAAATTTCAAAGAAAGGGGATATATCTATTTTTTCTTGTCTTAATTACTTTGAAAAGTTCCTGATTGTTTTTGAAACATTTTTAAAATATATCTTTATTGCCTTGTAATTTTTCCCATTGTACTCGATGCTGTAATTAAGAATGCAACGCACTTGGCTTTGCGGGAAAAGAAATTCCGAGTATGTATGGATGTGGCCGTGGCGAGAACTCATTAGCCACCCCTCGCGATTGCAGTTGTTGTGATTTCAATCAGGTTGCGGTTATTGTATCGTACCCTGCCACTCCTCTACCTCCAACGCCCCCAATTGAGTTCAATGAAATTTTCTGCTATCTAAATTCCTTGCGACACGTGCCAGACACAACAACAACAAATGACACTAACAATGATGGCCTTCCTCTTCCTCCACACCCGCCTCCACCATGCAAATGTGAAGCCTGTCCTTCGTCCTGCTTCCTTTCTTTCCTGCCTTCCGCCTTCTGGCTTTCTTTGTATTTATGCGTATGTCTATGGATATATAGAATGGCGTCATCGGTTTCGTTTCCCTCGCATTTGTACTTGATTACCCATACACTTACCCACAGCATCCACATCCACATCCGCATCCATATTCGCATTCGCATCAGCATCACCACCAGGATCCGCATCCGCAGCAGCAGCTACTTTAACGGCAAATCGATATTCTGTCTGCCCCTGTCTGCAAAATAAAATCATCAGTAGTCTGACTAACCGTCTAGAAAACAGTCTACAAGCCTTGAAAAGTATCCACAAAAAAGAACAGTAGCGGAAACTTAAAGCAAAAGTTGAAATTTATTGGGGGGTTCAAGGATACGCCAGCGAAATAAGTAATTTAGAGTCCAACGGATAGACGCACAAGGCAATAGAATAAATTTAATTGTCTTTGTGGAATATTTATGTTAAAAGGGAATTTATTCTACCTTCTCAAGTTGAGCCAAAAGATAAATACTTTCTTGATCTTAAAGCCCGTAAGGTATTCCGCTCGAGAATCTGATAAAAATTGGCAAAGATATGGATATTGCTAGGGGCATATAAGAAAATCCTGGAGTTTGCAAGGGGTTGCCCCAATTTTTGATGCTGATTATTAATACATCGGATTAGGAATGAACAAATCGGATAGTTTTTGGCAAAGATACTGCCATCGACTGGCGACACCCTATTCTTCCAATAATCTTTTATGGTTTAAGCTAAGATTCTTAAAGTTTCGTAAAAATTCATTCATTTATGGCACCTCCAAAACTAAGTCAGCTATGACTGGAGTGACAGAACAAAATTGATCCTATTTAGGTCCGCTTACCAATCGGAATCTGGATCCAGGATGTTGCACAGCAGCTACAATCGGGCGCCACGCCGCAAGCTCATCCCGAATCTGTTTAGCATCATCCTGCAGGTGGTGGCCGATTCAACGCGACCATTGACCGAGCACGAGATCGCCGAGGCTGTCTCCAAGAAGATGGAACGCTGCGACGAGGAGCTGAAGCGCCAGATAACGGTCAGCCTGCACGACGCCCTGATTTATGGCTATCTCCGCGTGAAGAACTTTCGTTATTCCATCGTCTCCAGCCGTCTGGAACCAAACTCTCATCAAAGTTTCAGAAACAGATCCGAGGGCTACGGACCGAGCTCCTCAATAGCCGCCGGCATCTCGAACCATCACCGATCGGAGGATAGGATGTCGAGTGCCAACGAAGATGAGGACGACATCAACGATGAGGACGTGAATGCCAACGAGGGGCAAGTTCTCGAACAAGAGAACCATACCAGGGCAGAGCCAGAGAAGCAAATAAATTGAAATTCGTTGAGCAAAATTAATATAAGCTCAACAGTCAAGTGATTAACCCTCGAGTTCTTATGATTTGACGGAGCTAATGCGTAATGGAAAACTATAACGAATAAAATACAATCAATTAGGAATATAAATATATATTTTAATTTAATTTACCTTGTGTATGTTTGTAGATCTTCATGTAATTATGGTATGGGTATTGTTAGAAATATGCGTTTTATACGTATTATACATAAATCTTCAACTGAAAGTTTTGTAAATACAGAATGAAATAACGTGCACAGAATGTTCATCGTTATCGAACACTAAAGCAGCAGGTGGTGAGACTTGTGTCAATTGATTTATATCAATTGATCAGCTTAAAACTCGAAAAACCACAAAAAACCTTTATATTATGGTTTTAGGTGGAACAATTTAAAAAAAAATATATGAAACAAATTTTTTTAAATAACTGGCAAACAAGAGAGCTTCTGCGAATGGAAAAGTCAACAATTACCAACACTACTGTTTAAGATATTGCCAGATAGTGTTAAAAAAAACTTTAGCCAATGGCACTAATGTCAATGGCAGAATAAATTCTACACAATATTTAATAATTTTTGAAGAATAGTAATTGTAAATCTCAGTAGGTGTTACTTGAAATTTCAAGAAGTAAGTATCCGTAACATCATTTTTGGCCTGCAAGGCGAAAAGTTCAAATCGAAGCCAAAATTTATCGAAGTGCATTAAAGTTAAATACGATAATCCTCTTTAGCTTTTGGCACCCATCACTAATTTGAAAAAAAATCAGGCACCTTGAGAACAACGCTACGTACGGAAGCTGGTCGAAAATTTTGTTAAGTTCAACAAAATTGTGCGCAAAGATGAATCGATTTAATCCAATGGACATGGATTGGGACGATGACTGGGAAGAGTTGGCCGAGGTATCCAGCGACGAGCCCTTTGAAACCGTTCTTAACCGCGACAACCAAGATGCTTTGCGTGAGACTCGCTCGGTGCCGATTCATTTTATGCATGGTACGCAGGATGGTCACTGGCACAATGCATTTGCCGACATTGACGACAATGAATCAGAAATAAGCGATGAGAACAATATGGATCCAGCGGCGTTCATCAACTCCCTGGGCTATAACCCCTGGATGCGCGTGGAGGGGTACGGCCTTGACGCTCCACATGCATTGCGCTCTGCAAATTTCAACTTTCGCGAATACGACGACGAGGATGGGGATGGCTACTTGGAAATTTACGGCGACGGCGACAGCGACTATAACGGACTTTCTCTCATTGGAGTCGGCAGCCTTAATCGCAACGAATTTCCATGTAACAACTGCATGATCAACGATGCTTTTCCCCACGGAATCTTTTCCGTTCCATTGAATGAGAAGGAGTTGGCCCGTATTCAGACGGAGCTGGCTGAGCCCGGAGAGGATGTGGTCCCAATGGCAACCTACGTGAAGGAGACCGATGACTTGATCGCCAAAATGCTGGCCGATATTAACGGAGCCGAATCCAAAATGAAGACCGACTAATAATGGCGCTCCACAAATTATGGTTACCGACGAAAAACGACACGTTCTCAACTTATAACATCAGGATACGAAAAAGATTGGCTTGGCTACTACACCTACATCACACGAGGCAAACAAATAAATTATAAACTTCACAATTGGCATATGTAGATTATAAAGAACTTGCGAATGTTATTCTTATCATTTTACTTGAATGAAAACTGTAACTTTATAATTTTTGTAATTGCAAGCCAAGATAAAATCGAATCCCGTCCATTTCGAGAACTAACCTACATTGACGTTTTCTTTATTTCTTTTAATTATATGTAGATATGTTGTATGATATTTATTTATACAATTTTAAATTTTCAGTTCATTTTTTTTTGTTTTTTGCAAAGAGTGCAAAGTTTTATTGTTTCCCAATTATTTATAACTTTTACATGTTTCAGAAGGAAAATGTTTTGCTGGATAAGAGGTTTCAAGAATTTGAAATAAAGTTTTAATTTTGATAATAAGTTTAAAGTTTGTTTTTATTTCTCTGAGCAGACATCTTAACATATTCTCATATGCTATAGAATCACGAACAGAATTTGTATAATTCGCGTATTTTTTAAAGTTACCAGTTATCAAGAGTTATAGGTTCCCCCTTTTTGGATACCCATCCCTCCACTCATTAATAAAACATAAAAATTATTTGAAAAACTACAATTTATTTATACCCGAAAGCTTGCAAATATAAAGGCGCTGGAACCAGGACAACTCGAATGTGATTTAAACGCAAAATAGGAACGGCAGCAGTATTGGAACGCTCGTTATTTACGAAACATGCGCAGGACGGTCCCTTTGATTGCGGCACGATTACGGATCACAGATCACAGATCACGGATCACTGATCACGGGTTGATGGGTTGTGGTGTGACAGATGGGTCACGGATCGAGCATGGCCGGTCCGCGGACTAGTTCACGTACAGTAAAACCAAAATACCAAACCAAATATATGGTGGGCTCGTCGGCGGCACAAGAACTCACAGGACTCGCAGCTTTTGGGCAGCTCGTGGCACTCGTTACGGATGGGACTCGGTTGCAGTTGATAGTAGAGTGCATGGATGCAGTGCGGCAGGATGCACACGAGCTGGTCCCACAGCTATGACTTCTGTGCATGCTCGTTTTTGTAAAAAATATATGGGTGGATATGTATATATCATATAAGATATATATACGCGATACGTCATACGTTAGCTATGCGATGCCAAAAATATGTATGCAGATGTGGCCGGACTGGGTGGGTTAGATGGGGTAGGCCAAAACGGTAATTCACGTATGATGGGATGAGGGTTTCATTTGGATGGCTAAACGGATGGTGTATCGATCGATGTCGATCTTGGGTTTCTCTTGGGTTCTCTTGTTTCTCGGTCTTTTCATGTCTTCATGTCTTCAGGTCTCTTCATGTGTCACTTGTTGTTATCATTACTTGTTCTTGGTTGTGATTCCTTAGTAGCTCTGACTAGCGCTTGCGCCAGGAGAGCGGCTCCTTCTCCAGCTCCTTGGCCCGCTCGGCAGTCTGCTGGTTGCGTCGCATGATCTCCACCTGCTCGATCTCGGTCAGCAGAGAGTATCGGTTGCCGTCCTTGCGCAAGTAACCATTATTGACAGCCGCGTGCAGGGTGTGTGGCACATGGCGCTTCAGCTCCACCTCCGGGCGCTGCAGGCGGACCGACAGAGCGTTGATGATCTCCGGATAGCTGACCGAACGGCTCTGATCCCGCATCAGGGCGATGACGGCATGGAACAGATCCGGTAGCGGTTGCTTGCGGTATCGGATATTCTGCTTGACGGCCAGACGCTGAAGGAGATGGGCGTGGGCATGAGCATGGGCATGCGGATACGGCGGATGGACATGCAAATGTGGATGGAGGTGTGAATGCCCGTGCGTGAGGTGGGTCTGCAGGGGCAGCGGATGCGGTGCCGGTAATAGACCCGGCAATGCCAGCAATCCGCGGCCTCCCCTCACGCCGGCCACCACTCGGCCGCCACCACCGCGAACTCCTCCGACTCCATCTCCAACTTCAATGCCGGCGCTGTCTCCACCATCGCCTCCCGTGGTTGTAGCTTCTCCTTCCAATACAGCGCTGCCTTCTGCTATAGCATAATCTTCATTCTTTTCTCCTTCAGTGACTCCTTCTCCTTCTCCTTGTCCCATGCCGGCAGGTACTCCTTCTCCTACTCCTCCTCCACGGCTCCGAAGTGGCTTGAAGACCGCAGCCCCAGCATTTAGTCTGAACTCTGCCAAGGACTCGGACAAATGCTGCGGCTTATACTGAATGGTGGTGGTGGGCGTGGGCAGCAGGCCACCGCCGCAGCCATCGCCTCCGGTCCCGAACCCCAAGTCCAGACCACGCATCTTGTAGGCGGCGGCGGAGGCGTTTAATTTCGAATTGGCCGCCTTCATAAAAATGGAAGCGGACGGCTTCAGATCGTACAAGGGATCCAGGTCGTCCGAGTTATCCCCTTCCAGAGAAGCGGAATCCAAAGAAGGGGACGCCGTGGCGATGGCCTCCGAATCTGAGTACACTGGAAGTGTAAACGAACTGAAACTGGCACTGGGACTTGGTGTCATGGGCTGAGTGGGCAGTGGCTTAGTAATCGCCGAAGACATGGACATGGCAGCCATCTCGTCATCGGTGGCGCTTTCTATTTCAATGCCGTCACTTATGGGAATCTACAGGAGGAACGTATTATAATAGGATGTCGGACAGATCTGGAAGTCAATTCCCATTCTGATTAGTTTTCCCAAAAAACTCACCTGCTGTGTTGTTGCTGTCGTGCCCGAGAAAATCTCCACATCAGGGATCTGGTCATCGGTGTACGGGGCATGAGCATAGGTGACTGGGAAATGGGTCGACGATAGCGATGTGTCCTGGTCGAGCCCAGTCTCAGTACCGAGTCCATGCCCCTGGTCGCTGGTGCTTCCAGAGGAGCTGCCGCTGGAACTGCCACTTGAGCTTCCACGGGAGCTGTCAGAGCTGCCAGTGGTGCTGTCGCTACGGGTGCTACTCATGTTGTCTTCCCTTATGTCCAGGTCCAGGTCGAGTTCCAGGCCGAGGCCCATCTGCATATTTTGTGTCTGGGGGTCCATCTGGTGGTCCCCCGTCAGTTCTTGGTCCAAGCTCAGGTTCAGGTTGAAGGCAGGAGAGGCAAGCGTCAGCTTGCGGAGCGGCAGGGGCGATGGCAGTGGTAGCGACTGGGAATGCAATAGCGGATGGTGGTTATGCTGACTCTGGTGATGGTGCAGCTGGCTCATGTGGTGCTGGTGCTGCTGCAGGTGATGGTTCAACTGGGTGATATGATTGAGCTGGTTGATCTGACTGATCTGGTTCAGGTGGCTGAGTTGGTTGAGCTGACTGATTTGATTTATTTGACTGAGGTGGCTCAGCTGGGGGCCGACCTGGTGGGGGTGGTGACGATGCTGCTGCAGCAGCTGGCGGTGCAGCTGGGGGTGGTGGTGAAGCTGTTGCTGCTGGTGGAGTTGGTGCTGCAGATGCTGGCGGTGGAGCTGGTAAGCTTGTGCGTTGTGGCGGTGGTGGTTGTAGAGTCGGTGTGGCTGCTGCATATGGTCCATGGGATGGTGGTTTTGCGGCTGTGGACCAAGCTTCTGGCCGAGGATCATACTGTGCCCATGTCGTGCCGTAGCGGTGGCGGCAGCGGCAGCCGCGGCAGCTGCCATGGCATTGTGTGACGACGGCTCACCCAGATTCACTTGGACATCTTCCATTTTCCGACTGCCAGGATACACAGATACCAACGAAGTTTTTTCAGATATAGCTCTCCTTTCCTGTCAATGTTTCAAGTACTGTAATAGACTTGATTTTTTCGCTTCCTGTTTTGTACAAAGAAACTGCCAGGGGTTCAAGTTCCACTCGACTTTTGACGCGATATCGATTCCGTGGATCGCTATCACTGTCAAAGATCGGGTATCGATTTTTTCGTTTCGACTCTTGTACCTCTTTATCAAAACTTGATTCGCGAGTTTATTGTAGTTTTTCGGGAATATTGTTGATTTTTCAGTTGGGTCTTCTGCGGTTATCTGACTACGGTAATTGGGTCTGGAGGAAAACCGGGAAAACAGGCAGGCTAGACACTGAGGACCAATAACCCAACGTTTCGAACACGGTACGGAGATACGTTAATTTACAACAGTTTTTGTGTGCTGCCGAAAGAGAAATTTTGTCGATCGAATAAAGGGTGTATGTATATGTGTATATTTATAGCAGAGCTAAGTGAAGTGAAGTGAAATCTGAAATCTGGGACTGACTGGCATGTTGGTGCGGACGCCAACTACGTTTCCACACATTCCAGGGCCTCAAAAAAAAAATATTTTATTATAAAAAATTTAAATTTACCCTTCTTCAAAAAAGGAATTATGGAGCAAGGAAAATTGATATGATATAAGGATAACGAAGTTGAAAGCCTCCGAATGGCTTGTCCGAATCAGATGAAAATCGATATCGGTTATCGGTAGGAAGACAACTGCGTTTAAGTGTTGGCGATGTACTTGAATTTAAGTTAACAGATTTAGTAATCTTAATTTTATATGCATTTTTAAATCGTTTATTACTTTTAGTATCAATCACAAATATGAATTTGTTCCAAATATTTAAGATATTATATGTACATATATTTTGGTAAAAAAAAAAACAACCTAAAATAAATTCTTTCGCACTTTTACACTCATATCTTTTATTTGACTTTTGTATGCCATTAAATATGTCAAATATTTAGCCTATCCTTGTTTATAATGGTAAAAAAAATAATCATAATTGTTTGAAAAATAAAAATAATTTCAAAGTTTTAAAGGCTTTACTTCAAAACAAGTCAAAGTCATTTGAAATCGCACTTAAATCTATCTTATAAAAGAATTTAAATAAAATTAGCTAAAAAATTTATAATAACTCGCAATCTTATCTAATCCCTCAAAGCTACATACATTTAATCTGACTTAAAATTTAAGAAAACATATATATTTTTTGGAACATATTGTTATAAATATTTGTATGCCTAACACATTATACGTTTTTTAATAATTTTCTTAATCTAAACTAGAAAAAGCATAAAAGAGACTCTTATTTTTAATAAAGAATAATATGTTAAATATTTTTTTCTACGTTTTCCTAACTAATTTATATTAATTAAAGATCATAATCATATTTAAGAAACCCATTTAAAATAAGAAGCCCCGGAAGCTTACCCTAAGTTTTTGGGGTTTTCCCCGAAAAAAAGTGATAATAAATAAATATGATGGCAAAGATGGGGTGGCAAATTCTGCATAAATATGTTGAGTAGATAAATAAGCAGCCAAATAGAAAAACCAAATCAACAGCTAGGGAGTATAACAATTTTGGGTCCAGACCCTTTCAACCCAGAAAGATGACTCAGCCGCAGGCTAAAAAACAGAAAACCAGGCCCAATCCGTTTACCCACAACATGTAAAACAATATGCTGCCAAGGGATGTTAGAGGTCTTTAAGCTTCTTGCCTAAAAACCCGAAAAAAAAACAAAAAAAGGAGCATAATCAAATAGAGGGGGAACGAGCCCGGAGCACAGAGACTTTTCCTTGTGATGAGGTGCGAAAAATCACAAGAATTGGATTTTGGTTTTGAATTATGGCCCAAAAAAAAAGGGGTCTAGCTTGTGGTAATGGAAAGTGGGGGTGGCAGTGGTTGGATAATTCCAGAGTAAGTGTCCTGCGAGTCCCTGCTAATGTGCCATGTCACTCACTGGCGCGCAGTGTTGGGTAATTTCACAATTTTCAAATTACACACCGCAAAATCTCATTTAGCTGAGCAAAGTCAGTTGACTGGACTAAGCTGCGGCACACACACACTCTAAATGAGTGTCCTCTGCAGGGAGCGGAGAGGGGTGACGAGGGCGGGTGTGTGAGGGTGACCACATCCTGCCGCACTCTAATGTCCTTGCCCAGCTCACGCTCACTTGCCTCGCATTCAACGGGCGTGAAAACAGCAAGGAGCCGGCAGGAGCAAGAGTCTGGTCGGAGTCCTTTAGCCTGAAGCAGCAGCAGCAGCTGGCAGGACCCTCTGGCAAGGACCCTACAGGCCAAACAGGTATTATTGCACATGGACGATGGGTGTTGGTGTTGGTGGTGGTAGTGTTGCTGGTGGTGGTGCTGGTGGTGGCGATGGAGGATCCCCAGACGCATGGCCAAGGACACGAGCGTGACTAAATCCCTAAAGCACTGACTTTCGCAGGACCAAACATCCAGCAGGGTGAACGCATCCTGTTTTGGAGCCTTTAAGCGCCACTGAACTCAAACAAAGCCACACACACAGAGTAAATGCCCAAGGATAAAAGGATATTCGTTCAAATATATTAGTTTCCTCATACAATTTTTATAAATTAATTAATTTATGCATTAAATATAAAATAGGATAATTAGTCTATGAAAATAAGGAATTTGAAGTTACTTGCTGGAATACATAAGATTCTAGAAATAGAAATATATCCAAGAACCCGTTCTGTTACTAATTTTTTAAGCAAAATTCTTAAAGACTTTCAAACATCCTTTTTAGGATTTCGATATGAAATTCATAAGTATAAGAAGAAGGAGCTGTAGGAGCCAAAGGAACTGAAGCTGGGGGAGGTCAAGTGGGAGGCCACTTGACCGATGTGCCTGGGGCTGATGCCACATGAAGAAGACCATCGGGCACAAAGGACGCGATTGAGGCCGACTTAGTCAACGTATCCTTGTTGATATGACCGCAAGCTCAAGGCTTTTAGATGCCACCATCACACCTGACCTGGGATGGGTTCTTGTGGGCGGTGAGTAGATGGTTAGTGGGTGATGGGTGATGGGTGGTCGTGTTTTATGGTGGGTGTTGCCAGGGCCTTCGAGTTGCATTTCAATTAGCTCGTTTGGCTGCCGGCGCAAAGCGAAAATGCCAGGATTCAGTGCAGTTGACAAACAGGACGTTCGGGATTCGGGGATTGGATGGGATTGCCACTACCATTGCTACTGCCAGTGCCACTGCCAGTGCCTATGCATGTGCCACGGCCCCTTCAAAGTGCAACTGCTTGCAACTGCCACACCGCACATCGATCAGCCAAATAGGACCGGACATTCTGGGATTAATATTAACCCACTCTCGGAGCTAGGCTAAGTGAGTTGCCATAATTGGCAACTGAGGGAGCCTGCCTGATTCCTTTAATAATCTTTCAGTTTAAGATCGTAGAAATTATTTTCTTTTCAATGAAACTTTTCTATTCAAATGGGTTGCCCAACCTCAAAGACTCTAGAATCTAGATTAAATCCTGTGCAAGTAGTTATGAATTTTTATATTAATTTATATCCCAGCAGGATAGTCAGTCAGTCAGTCAGTCAGTCAGCTAGTCATTCTGTCATTATTTCAGTGTTTCTTTCAGATCTGCTCAGTTAACTAGCTATTGTGTGCAAGGAGGCGAGTATCTAGAGCTCGTCATGATTGTTTTGTAATTGGAATGCGACAAAGGATATGGCTGGAGTGGGTGGAAGGAGGCATCTCTTCAAATGCAAGGACAATAATAACAGCAGCAGCAACAAGGAGGAGTGAGGAGTGAATGCCAACTCAACTAACAATTTGCTTCAATTATAAAAAGCGTCGCGACAAAGTGGCGCCACCAAGCGACGGGCGGTGGTGGGAGGTTGGTGGTTCTGGGTCGTCCTGGGGTGGCTTGGGTGGCTCGGTCGGTTGCTGTTGCTGTTGCTGGAGAGATGCTGGCGGTGGTGCTGTTGCTTTTGCCTTTTGCTGATGAAATGGGCAAACAGTGGACAGAGTGCCCGCGGAGATGGGAGATGGCCTGGTAATCAGCATGGCGACGCATTTGCTCCTTTGAGTCCTGCAGCTCCTTCCTCCAAAAATCATCCGGCAGTGCTGTCTGCCAATAATGAAAAGTATTTTTAATTTATTAAATTTTAATCTTAGTAGTTTATAGGAGTTAATAGGAGTTTAGGTTGTAGAAAAGTACAATAAATGTTTAAACATATTTTTTAAAATATAGTGCACTTAAATATAGAAGATAGTGAACCAATTCTTAGTTTTAAGGTTTAAAAGATAATCTTAGAAGTTTTAGAGTATTTTGCTAAACTCTTAAAGAGAAAGAATATACATACTATAAGCTCAAAAAATATAGTAAGAAAATTCCAACTTATTTAAAAATTTTTGAACTTCTCACTCGGAAATTACTATCCAAATTTTTATTTTCTAAACCTAAAAGTCCTTCATCTAAAACAACAGATTAACTAAATACTAAACCAATTATTAAAAACGCTCATAAATCTATCCATTTTAACCAATTTTTAGTCAGCTTTTGAAAATTGGGCTGATTATCTGGCTACCAAAAGCTTTAGCTGGAAAAGAGCCAAGTTAACAAACTTGAAGCCAAGTGAAAGAGAAGAGTCAACGACTCGATGACGCAGCTGGCCTCGACCGGAATGAAAGTGGAACTGGAGCAAAAAGGGGGTCGACTGGCGTCACTCCCATTCCTGTCATCTCCTAGTCCTCCTCCATCTGCAACTGCCTCCACATCAACATCCACATCCTCATCCTTCGTCCTTTGTCTGGCGTCTATATGGTCATCAACTTATTTCCATGCTGCATGCAACTCGAAGCCCATCATAATTGTATTTTGTTGCAGCAGTCAGGCGGAGATCAGAATCCAGAGTTTGTTGTCTCAGCTCGATAGAGCTGAGGATGAGGATGGTGATGGAGTGAAGGTGAACCTGTTGCCTTCTGGCGGCCAGGACACGGAGCACAAAAGGATGAAGACAGGACAGGACAGGGCAGGATGGTCAGGATAGACAGGATGGCAGCATGGCAGGCTTGGGGCTCAGGAACTTATCCTGGCCAGCTGGGCGATGATTTACTGAGCTCGTGTGATTCATAAATATCTCGACTCAACGCCGGCTCAGGAATCCGGCTGTCCATTGTCCAAAGTCCTTTGTCCAGCTGCCCTCGATTGTCACAATTATGCACAGAAAGAAAATTTTAATTTATTAATAAAATACATTCTCAAGAGAAGAAATAATCACCTCCAACATAAGTTTACTTACTTTTGGTTTTTTTTAAATTATTTTGAGTATGTCCTTCAAATGTCTCTCAGTGCAAGGTCAGGACTTCGGGCTGAGTTGAGTTTAAATACCAGCGGATGAAGCGGCTGCCATTTGTCATGGCATTGCAGAAACTGGAGCTCGAAGCTTCCAGCAGCAAACTGAGGCATGTGTGCCAGGATCCGAGTTTAAATGTTAATAGTTCACAGGCTGCTTGATCCTTTCAGTTGTAGCGATTCAAAGG